AGGTGGCTGATGAGGGAGACGAGGAACAACTGGGTCCAGTGCCTGACATATGGATGCACAGAAGGCAGAGGAGAGGAGAGCAGTGGAAATCTATGGGCCAGTATTTGGGAAGGAAGAGCCACGGCTGCTAACGAAGCCCCACCCTAGCTCTGGGGATAAAAGGCAGGGGGCGGAGATGAATAGGTGTGGCATATAACTATTCACCTCCCGGACGAACAGACTTGTTAGCCTGTGGTGGGAGAGAAACTTTTTTGCCGGAGCTGCTGGCATACCTAATAAAGAAATCTTTGAGTTCACTTCAGAGCATTTGTCGTGTTTGGAGATCTGGGTCAGAGCAAGTTCTTTCTTTTTTCTTTGTTCATGGTGGTTAAGATTTGATCTTGGGCTTCCTGCAAACCAGGTTCTGGATTTTTCGTACAAGGGTTGTTTCCACCCATACCACAATCAGAGACCAAACCGCATTAAGTCTTCCAGACGCATCTGCGTGCAGGAACCATGAATCCCAGCTTCTTTTGATCAAACTCTTTGGTCTTCTTTGCTCAGTTCTTCCCACGGTACGTCTAGAGACCGACCCGCTTTCTCCCATCCAGCTGAACACCTCAGTGACGGTTACTTGCAACGCAGAATATTTCTATCCAAACGTGGCCAAAGTGGACTTGTTTTGCAAGAATCCCAGCGGGAAAGGAAAGTCTGCTAGGGCAACTTTGAATTCAAACGGGACGTACTCTCGCCAGAGTTCCCTGAAAATCATGGCCACCGAAAATTGGAACTCCTCGCTCTTCACTTGTCTGGTTAAACATAACTCGGCGGTATTTAAGGCTACAAGAAGACTGTTTATTAAGACAGAACTAGGAGAAGGTAAGTGGGGAGGGGAGGTTGATGAGTTTTTCTGAAAAAAAAATCGGGGCCGGCCAAGAGACCCCCCGCCGCGCGCCCGGGGAGCGCCCGCTGCTTTCCCTCGCCGGGGCCGCGCGGCGGCGTGTTGCACGGAGGCTGGTCTGTGGCTGGCCCAGCTCCCTTTTCCTGCCGCTCAGCGGCCTCCGCTCGCACCGCCCGGGCTCCGCTCAGGTATCCAGCTGGGGCTGTCAGGAGTTGCTACCGCCGGCGCAGCTCCACGCGGCTCCAGTCTCGCGTTGCCTCGGGAATGGAAAGGCAAAACCAGGAGCCGCTGCTGCTGTTGCAAAGCGCCGCCGCGGCTCTTCCTTTTTGCCTTTTCCTTCCTGAGGCAACGCAGGACTGGAGCTGCGCGGAGCCGCGCCAGCAACTCCTGACTCGGGGCCTCCGAGGGGAGGGGAAGGAGGAGAAGAAGGGGTAGGGGGAAAGGAGGGGGCGATTCCCAAAAAAATTGGAATTCCGATTTTAATCGGAAGAATATCATGCCTGGTTCAAATTACCTGTCGGCTGGCGGTCCCTCCAGCAGGTGAATCAGACAAGGAGGTGGCGTGGGAGTCAGGGTCAGCATCAACCTGAGAGCTCCGAGGGGGAAGAGGGAACGGAGCTGTTAGAGATGGAGGCAGAGGCCATCTTAGTCCTCAGATGGGGAGTCAACAACCCCCAGGTCTGGAGGTGGCTGATGAGGGAGACGAGGAACAAATGGGTCCAGTGCCTGACATATGGATGCACAGAAGGCAGAGGAGAGGAGAGCAGTGGAAATCTATGGGCCGGTCCTTGGGAAGGAAGAGCAACGGCTGCTAACTAAGCCCCACCCTAGCTCTGGGGATAAAAGGGAGGGGGCGGAGATGACTAGGTGCGGCAGATAACTATTCACCTCCCGGACGAACGGACTTGTTAGCCTGTGGTGGGAGAGAAACTATTTTGGCCGGAGCTGCTGGCATTCCTAATGAAAGGAATCTTTTGAGTTCACTTCAGAGGGTTTGTCGTGTTTGGGGAGCTGGGTCAGAACATTGTTGACTTGTGCACAGTTAATGCAGGTCATCCTTGATATAAAACAATTCATTTAGTGACTGTTTTAAGTTACAACGGCACTGAAAAAAGGTAACTTATAATCATTTTTTAGAGTTATGAACTTTGCAGCATAATCATATGATCAAAATTCAGATGCTTGGCAAATCAGGCGATCATCTTTTGTGACCTTCCAATGAGCGAAGTTAGGCATGAAAGCTTGTTGGGTGACTTTGAGCCAATCATCAAGAGACTTGAGTTCTAGTCCTGCTTTAGACATGAAAGCTTTGGGCCCATCACCAGGAGATGGAGAATTATAGTCCGTCTTAGGCATGAAAGCTAGTTGGGTGACTTTGGGCTAATCAGCAGGAGACTGAAAGTTCTAGTCCGGCCTTAGGCATAAAAGCTGGCTGGATGACTTTGGGCTAGTCCAACCTACCTCACAGGGTGGTTGTTGTGGGGAAAATAGGAGGAAGGAGTATGTTCACTGCCTTGAGTTGCTTACAAAATAATACAGGCGGGATAACAATCCAGTAAATAAAGAATATTGGATACTATTTGGAAGAATTCTGGCCAACAAGCTGTGAGAGATTAACATTATAGGAATGCAGAACTGGTGGGCAAAAGGCGTGGAAACCAGGTTTTTGCCACGTCTGTGCAAACCATTTTGTGTTGTTTTCCCATTACACCCAACGTGAAGTCAGTGTTAACATATCTTGTATAATGAAATAAAGTGTGTGGATCAGTGGTGGGATACAAATTTTTTTTACTACCGGTTCTGTGGGCGGGGCTTGGTGGGCATGGTGTGGCTTGGTGGGAGTGGCAGGGCAAGGCTATTGCAAAATCTCCATTCCCTCCCCACCCCACTAACCTGCTTTGCAGCTCCGTTCTCCTGTGCAGGGCAACCAAAGAAGACCCAGCCAATCAGCTGGGACTCAATGGGAGGCAGAGAATAGATGGGGTTGGTGGGGTCAGTCGGAGGTGGGATTGGCCGGTTCTCCCAACTACTCAAAATTTCCGCTACCGGTTCTCCAGAACTGGTCAGAACCTGCTTAGTTCACCATCTCTGGTGTGGATCTGCTAATTCATCTAAAATCAAGTCTTTGGGGAACAACAGGGAAAATGAAGTGAAACATTGCAAGCTACACGGAAATGGGGAAAGACTAGAACAAGCAAATGTGTTTCGAAATACTTTTTTTTCCCCCCCACTCAGGAGAGGAAGCTATTAAACGAAAGACTTCCAGCTTTTATTACAAGTAAATCAAAATGATCCACCGTCTTTTCCCCAGCAGGCTCGCTGCAACAATCCATGATGGGTCTCTATCTGGGCCTTTTCCTGAACAAAATGGGACTGTTTGTTTTCTTCGCGAGTCTTTTCAAAATGAAGTTGCGTGGAAGCTGCGTTGCGAGACCTTTTGCCCTGTCTTCCCAAGGCTGAAATCCCGATTTAACTACTACTCCCGACGACATCCTGGATGAGAGAAGATCTGCCGGGAAATTGAGAAGAACGTTATTTTTTTAAAAAAAATAAATGTACAATGCTTTTTTTCTGTAATGATCTGTATTGTTTACAAATGAATAGAAGGAATAAAAACTATTTGGAGAGAGAAATCAACTTCCCATCCTCTTGGATTCCAAAATTAAATGAACCCATCTTCAAAATATTTAAATACTTTTTTTAAAAAAAAAGTTGAATTGGAGGTAGTCCTCGACTTACAACAGTTCGTTTAGTGACCGTTCAAAGTGACATCATCACTGGAAAAAAGTGACTTACGGCCGTTTTTCACACTTATGACCGATGCAGCAATCCTCATGCTTGTGTGGGGGATTCAGACAATTGGCCACTGACTCGTGTTTATGACGATTGCCGGGGGTCCTGGGACCATGTGACACCCCCCCCTCCTTCTGACAAGCAAAGTCGATGGGAAAGCCGGATTCACTTAACAACCATGTGATTGACATAGCAGTGAACTGCAGTGATTCGTTTGAACAACTGTGGCAAAAATGGGGCTGAAAATGGGGCAAAACTCACTTAACAAATGCTTCGCGATGTAATTTTTGGGCTCAATTGTGGTCGTTAAGTCGAGGACTACCTATATTATTAATCTTGGTCTAGTTTAACACTTTAAAAAAAAAAAAAAGATGGACATTACAGAAACAACCGTGAGAGTTCTGGCTCTTGAACTTCTCAGTGGCTTTTTGAGCATGGTCTCCTTCTGGACCAGTTTTGGGGCTTGGGAGTGGGTGGCAGATTTACAGAATAACAGTTGGAAGGGATCTTGGAGGTCTTCTAGTCCAACCCCCTGCTCTAGTCCAACCCCCTGCTTAAAACAAGAGCGACAAAGGTCCTAACCGGAAGCCTCCCTTTCTATTCTGGAGCTGACCGGAAGTCCGCTCCCCCCCCCCCACCACAGAGTCTCCTCCTAGTGCAGCGTCCTTTTTTCTCTTCTGACCGGAAATCCAGTTCCCCCACCATAGAGTCTCCTCCTAGTGCAGCATCCTTTTACCTCTGCTGACCGGAAATCCAGTTCCCCCACCATAGAGTCTCCTCCTAGCGCAGCGTCCTTTTTCCTGACCGGAAATCCAGTTCCCCCACCATAGAGTCTCCTCCTAGTGCAGCATCCTTTTACCTCTGCCGACCGGAAGTCCAGTTCCCCCCCCACACACACACCATAGTCTCCTAGCATGGTGTCCTTTTTCCTCTACCTATCCTAACCAAAATCATTATCAATTCCAGAACCAACCGGAAGTCCGGTTCCCCCCACCATAGTGTCTTCTCCTAGTGCAGAGTCCTTTTTCCTCTGCCTACCGGAAGTCCGGTTTTCCCCACTATAGAGTCTCTTCCTAGCGCAGCATCCTTTTTCTTGTCAACTGGAAGTCTGGTTCCCCCACCATAGAGTCTCCCTCCTAGCATGGCGTCCTTTTTCCTCTACCTGTCCTAACCGAAAGCCCTCTTAATTGTGGAGCCAACCAGCGACAGCTAGCCGCAGCAGAGGGATGAAAGAGCCACACGTGGCTCCAGAGCCATGGGTTGCCGACCCCTGTCCTATACTATCCCTATACCTATATCCTGCCAACCATACCCATCCAGATACCATACATGTCTGTAGCCTATTTTTATCCCCGGGTCCAACTACGTGAACCAGAGGCCCATGAACTACAGCTCTGATGTGGCAGCCTCAGGGCCGGTTCCCACCACGGAGCAGGCAGGGACCGAATTTGACATGGCTGCACTTGGAGGCGCCGGTTCAGAAAGAAAAGAAAGCAGTTCCTGTGACAATTTTAACCTAGAAACTGGAGCTTAAGAGACAAGAACCCATATCCTGAAATATATCATAAATATATCATTTAACATTTATGCATGCTGACCTAAAAGGTATATATATGTTATATAGTTGTTAGGAGATTATGATTATTAATTGTTTAGGCAATAATTAAAAGTTAAATGAATATTGGAATTTAAAAGGGAGTTAATTAAAGAATATATAAGCTGTATGGGTGGCACACTCAAATTAGTAATTGCGGGGGGAAATCTTTTTGAACTGTTTGAATTGAATTAGAATTTGTGAAATGATGAAATAAGAATATGCAATGAAATTGCAAACCTGACAGATAAAAGGATAAAAGGATAATGAATATGAAGGTATGAGAGTTGTTTAAGGTTTAAGCTGGAGGAAAGTATTTGGGGAAAAATATAATAACAAAGTACGTAAAGTATTGGTAAGATATGAAACTAAATGTGAAAGATGAGTATCTAATTATGGTCATGCTCGCATGGAAATGTGAAAACCCGGAATCATGCTGTTCACTAAAAAAGTTTTTAAAATGTGGAAAACTGAAAAAAAATATATTAAAAAAAACATTTATGCATGTTATGATGGCCCAGAGCGTAACACAAACAGATAAAATCCAAAACGTAAATAAATGTCTTTTAATGCCTCCAACTTGGCCCCACTGTTCAATAATTCTCAGTTGGAGATAAAACTTATTCAAAAATAGTCTTCAAAAGAAAGCAAGACAATGAGCAGATAGAGGTGAAATAAAAACCTAAAACAAACTACAATGACGGAATTTCCACAACTGACCAGGATAATTACCAATTTTAAGGAGATAACAAGGCACAGTCTGTTGGAAGGACGCCAACGAAGATAACTTTGCTTCTGGCAACGCTGTGTTTTAATCCTCTCTCTTATATACTAGTCTCCCCAGCTGCAACCAATGAGGGGGAATCATGGCCGCTTCCTCTCTTGTAAGCCAAGTTGTTTCCTTCTCAGTTCCTCCCTGCGTGTCCTAGGATGGAGAGGGGATGGGCCCGATTCTTCCTCTGACTGCCCAGCTGGCCTCTGCCCTCACCTCTGCAAAGATTAAAGGGCAGGCAACCATTAGATGGGCACAACATCCGCCACCTTAATCTGAAATCTTCTACAAAAGAGGGAAATTCAGTTTCCTTTAGAGAAAAAAAAGAGAGTGGGATAAAGTTAAGGAAGCATTATTTCCGTAACTGATGCTCATCCTGTCAGGATTCCTGCAATTAAATCGTGAGTCTTGAGCCAAACTTCCAAAACTTAAAAAGGATTTATTGAGAGTTAACATGTCCGGCACTGCCTGGGTGCAGCCGACTCTGAGACACATCATTCATTGTCACCCTTGACCCTGGTTTTTCCCCACCCCCTGGGTGTACTGTAATTCATATTCTCCAATGGGACACCTCCATAGCCAAGAGCCATCAATCACGCTCTCCAGTTAGATATTTGCATGGCAGAAACTTCAGTCACCTTGTTACTATCTTTGAAAAACTATTTATGGGATGCACTTTCGATTTCCAAGCTGCCGCACTGCTCCCCCCTCTCTTTCTGTTGGCAACTCTAAAAAGACCATAGAAATATTTTATGAGTTGACACATCCCTTCTTTTGTCAAGTCAGTTTCATAAGCCAGGATTACCGGTGAATCTTCATCAGGTCTCTTCACTGTTCACATTACATGCTTACCTTGTATTTGTTACCACTGGTCTTGAAGTCTTGCATGGCCAGATGCCACCAAACTGCCTGGTTTGGTTTGAGAAATCTCACACCTTTTTCTGCCAAGGCAGCTTAAATCAGACCAAGACTTTCTACTCCAGGGGTGTCAAATTCAAGACCTGCGGGCTGGATCCGGAACACAGGGTCTGGACCACGAGGCCACCCCTGGGCTCCGTTTTCAGCCGCGACGGCCTCCTGCAGCCCTCTTCCATCGAAAATGGAGCTTGGGAGGGCAGAGGGCTAAAGGAGAAATGTTTCCTCTTTTGCATTTGAGCATGCAAGGGACAGGAAAGGAGAAAGGGAAAGAGGAAAGAAAAAAGATGGGAAGAGAGCAAGGAAGGAAAAGGAAGGAAAAGGAAGGAAAAGGAAGGAAGGAAGGAAGGAAGGAAAGGAAGGAGGGAAAGGAAGGAAGGAAGGAAGGAAGGAAGGAAGGAAGGAAGGAAGGAAGGAAGGAAGGAAGGAAGGAAGGAAGGAAGGAAGGAAAGGAAGGATGGATTATAATGAGGGAGGGTCTGAGGGAAGTCCTGCCTTAGCATTTGGCCACCACAGGTGCCCCTGACATGAGTGATGTCAGGCTGGCTACATCCACTCTGGCCACGTCTACACCCCCTCGACCAAGATCAAACACAATCCTGATGCGGCCCTCAATGAAATCAAGTTTGACACCCCTCTTCTACTCTTATGAACACCAAGTGTATTCTCTAAAATCCATTCAACCCATCCAGTTAAGTAAGCAACAAGTAAGGTGGACTTAATTCTGTTTAACACAGAATCCTGTTGGAAACTTTTTCTCCCCGATAGGGTCCTTGGTGCTCTCCGAGTTTTGGTTGATTTCACGCAGATATCCATGGAGATTCTCAATGACAGAACAGATGGAAGGGACCTTGGAGGTCTTCTAGTCCAGCCCCCTGCTCAAGCAGGAGAAACTATACACTCTCAGATAAGTGACTGTCCGGTCTCTTCTTAAAAATCTCCAGCGACGGAGCACCCACGATTTCTGGAGGAAAGCTGTTCCACTGGTTCATTGTCCACACTTGTTAGGAAGTTTCTCATTTGATGCAGGTCGTGGTTGTCCCAAAGATGTTTTTCAAAAGGCAACTGGATTTTGTGTTTTTTTTCCCCCCCTTTGGAAAACATTTCGCTTCTCATCCAAGAAGATCTTTCAGTTCTGACTGAATGATGGGGAACATAGAAATATTTCTAGCCTTTGCAGTCATCTGGGTTGTTAGCTCTCTGAGAGTCACTGAGGATGTTTGGAAATTTATCTGTATCATTGGGGTTATCTGAATCAGAATGCAAATGGCTGTGGTTTTGGGACTGCTGAAAGGAAAAACCAAGAACAAAGAAAGTCCAGTTGACTTTGGGGGGGGGAAAAAAACACCTTTGGGATGATTTTCATGCAGACATTTCATTACCCAACAAGGTAACATCATCAGTGCTAGAAGGGAGCAGGGTTTGAACTGATGTTGTTACCCAGTTGGGTTAAGAAATGTCTGCAAGAAAACAACCAAGCTCAAAGAGCATCAAAGGACTCCTCGTTTCAACCCCAAGCTACAAATATTCTCCTTTATCAATACTTTTCTCCTTGTCTGCATAACGCCACACACAAAATGGACGAGCGGAAACAGGTGTCTGCAGAAAAACTATCCCCAGAATCCACAAGGAATTCCGAGGCCCATGAACTACAGGTATTACTTTGGCAGCTGTTTGGACCAATGCCCACCACGAAAAGGTAGGAAATGAATTTGACACAGCTGCAGAGACTTCCCCTGGCCAAAGGTATTCACAGTTGAGGGACCCGTGAGAAAACAGGACAGGCTGGAAGAGAATTCTGATGCAAGAAAAAAAAAAAAACCTTGTTACATTGGCCTTACCTCTCTTGCCTTGGTTTGTATTGTGGCGCTCTCATCTTCCGTCTCTGCCTCAAACAGGTCTGGAGACAACGGCCATTTAAGAACTTGCTCTGGCCTCACATTAAAATGCTAAAAGATAAGTGTTTAAAAATTATGAGCCAGGCGTGTGTGCTATAGCCAAAAAAGCCAACAGAGTTCTAGGCTGCATTAACAGAATCAAGATCACAGGAAGTATTAATAGCAATAGCACTTAAGACTTATATCCCGCTTTACAGAGCTTCACAGCCTTCTCTAAGCGGTTTACAGAGTCAGCATAATTGCCCCCAACAATCTGGGTCCTCATTTGACCCACCTCAGAAGGACGGAAGGCTGAGTCAACCTGGAGCCTGGTGAGATTTGATCTGCCAAATTGCCGGCAGCCGACAGTCAGCAGAAGTAGCCTGCAATACTGCATTCTAACCACTGCGCCACCATGGCTCATAATAATGAGCACATTATAATACCACTTTATAATGTATTATAATATCAATTCATAATGCCTTGGTAAGGCCACACTTGGAATAATGGATCCCGTTTTGGTCACCACATTATAAAAAAGATGTTGAGACTCTGGAAAGAGTGCAGAGAAGAGCAACGAAGATATGAGGGGACTGGAGGCTAAAACATACAATGAACAGTTACAGGAACTGGGCATGGCTGGTTTAATGAAAAGAAGGACTATGTCACGGCCCCGTCGGAGCCTGAGTCTGAGACAGAGCTGGTGGAGAATGACCAGAGGAGCAGGACGAGGCAGTCCTGGGTCCCTCAGGCCTGGGAAGGGTCGCCAGTGAGGGTGAGCAAGAGATCAGGTGAGCAGGACAGGACAGGCAGCAGAGCAGACGAGCAATTACCTCCTCCCCACAAGCAGGGAGAATGGAGTGGAAGGCAACCCAACTACTTGGGAGGAGGGCGCCCCACCCCTTCACAAAGCTCACCTGGGGAAATGAAGTTTAAAGAGACGCAGTTGGGAGGTATGTTTGTCATGAACAAGCGTTGCTTTTTCCAGCTTCACCTGCTGTTACCGACCTCTGGATACTTTGTTGGGCTTGTCTGCCTTGTTTGCCATGCTGGCCTGGCTATGTGTGAGGTCGCAGTGACACAGTTATACTCCGGGTGATGCTGCAGTACCAGTGACTTCTTGTCTGTGACGAGGACTCCTTGGAGCCAACTTCCCTGAACCGTGGCTGCTCTCAGAACTGAGCTGCTCCTCTCGATTAATAGCAGCCAGGAACTATTGGAGGTGCATGCTTAGAGCTTTGTTCCTGGATTTGCAGTGAACGGAGGGATTTTTGGGGGGGGGGGAGTTGGAACAAAAAAAGGGGAGTTAAATCTTCGTTCTGGTGGTGTGGTTTCCGTGCCAAGCCCGGGTCATCATAGATTAGGGGTGACATGATAGCCAAGTCAAGCTATTCTCCAAAGCACCTGAAGGCAGAAAAAGAAGCAATGGGCGGAAATTAATCAGAGAGAGAAGCAACTTAGAACTAAGGAGAAATTTCCTGACAGTTAGACCAATTATCCAGTGGAACAACTTGCCTCCAGAAGTTGTAAACGCTCCAACACTGGAAGTTTTTAAGGAGAGATTGGACAGCCATTTGTGTAAAATGGTATAGGGCAGTGATAGCTAACCTTTCCCACGTCGCAAGCCAAAAGTGTGCATGCCTGCACCAATGATACAATGCATATGCAACCCCCGACCCCCACCCACCCACCCCCATTAGATATGGGTAGATAGATGGATGATAGAGATATAGATAAACGGATGGATAGGGCAGATGGATGATAGATGAAGATAAATGGATGGATGATAGATAAGATGGATGGGTGGGTGGGTGAATAGATACAGTAGATAAATAATTAGCTAGCTTAGATAGATAGATAGATAGATAGATAGATAGATAGATAGATAGATAGATAGATAGATAGAGGATAGATAGATAGATAGATAGATAGATAGATAGATAGATAGAGGGAGGGTAGATAGATAGATAGATAGATAGATAGATAGATAGATAGATAGATAGAGGGTAGATAGATAGATAGATAGATAGATAGATAGATAGATAGATAGAGGGTAGATAGATAGATAGATAGATAGATAGAAGACATGGGGGGAGAGAGAGAGAGAAGACATAGACAGCAAGCAATAGCACTTAAGACATATATACTGCTTCCCAGCCCTCTCTGAGCGGTGAACAGAGTCGGCCTGCTGTCCCCAACCATCTGGCTCCTCATTTTACCCACCTCGGAAGGACGAGTCCAACCTGGAGCCTGGCGAGGAAGTCTGCGGGATGAAGTCCTCCTCAACCCAACCGGCGGCCCTGCCCTATCCCCGCGCTTACTGGGCCTCCCTCAGCCTGTCCCCGCCGCCAAAGCCTCTTTGAAAGCCTCCGCCGTCTCTTCTCCGCCAGGCTCTTCGTCTCCCTCAGGCGCCATGCCACTCACCCGGCCACGCGCTCTCCTCGCTCAGAACCGGAAACCACCGTGACGTCATTTCCTCCTGCTCTTCTACGGCAAATCACTGCGCTTTCTCACATGGCCGGAGAAAGGGAAGCGGCCGGAAATGCCTCCGACGCCATCTTTGTTAAAGGTAAGCCGTCGGTTTCCCGACTCTTCTCTGTGGAAGGGGCTCGTTAGCCTCAATATTAGCCAGGATTCATCATGAGATGTACGCGGCTCTTCTCTATAGTATCTCTATGGTCTTTTCTAAAAACAATATTTTAAATTGCATACAATTCATCTTCCATTTAACGGTATGTCGTCTGGGTACAAATATCTTGTGCAATAGCAATTAAAATTTACATCCATGTTCTACTACTTTGGTATTCATTCTCTATTTTTATCTTATTAATATATATCTCTATTACTATAACTTCTTAACAAGTTTAATTCTATAAAGCTATTTTCTGTATTTCACTAATCTATTGGCTATTTCTAGCTTTCATATTTTTTCCTCCAGCCATCGATAAAATAATTCCCATATACTTTATAATATTCAGTTTCCTCTTTCCCTTTAATTGCAAGTGTTAATCTATTCATTTCTGCACATTTCCAATATATTTTCTAAGCACATTTTGGCTCTTGATGGACTATAGTTTGAATTTCCACCAATGAAAGTTTTATGGCCAAACATGAAACAATTTGATGTCTTCCTTGGCTCCGAAAGGGCAGAAAAGTGCATTATAAAACGCAGGAAATATACAAGTAGTGCTCCATTTACAACCACAATGGAGCCCAACATTTCCTAGTGAGACATTTGATTACGTCCCATTTTACGACCATTCTTGCCACCGTTGTTAAGCGAATCCCTGCAGGTTGATAAGTTTAGCCACCTGGTTGTTAAGCGAATCAGTCTTCCCCATTGCTTTGTTAGAAGGGGGAAAACGTGACACCGCGACAGTCATAAATAGGAGTCATTTGCTCAGCATCTGAATTTTGATCAGGTGATCGCGGGGATGCTGCAAAAACAGTCGAGTCACTTTTTTCAGTGCCGTTGTAACTTTGAACGGTCACTAAGCAAATTATTAAGTCAAGGACTCAGCAATCCACAAGGAAAGACGGCTAAAACAGCTGGGGAATTCTGGGAGTTGAAGTTCTGCAGGCTTAAAGTTGCCAAAGTTGAAGACTCCTGGTGTAAAACCAGCTTTTCTGTCCTAGGAGTGAAAATCTATCCCACATCTTTTTTTTTCTTTTTTTTTAGGAGTAAGAATTCACCAGACTTTTTGTTTCAATGATTTTATTTTTAAAAAAATTAAAGACCTCCATGGCACAAACTTCTCAGCACAATTAAAGGTTAGTTTTCAATAGTGACACTACAATTCCATTCAGGTAAATCCAGAGAGAGAGAGAGAGAGAGAGAGAGAAAGAGAGAACCAATCTAAATTTCAACAAAATAATAAAAAAGATCACTTCAAACAAGGTCTTTCTTTTAAAAAAAAATCAAATTTGCAAATAGGGCTATTTATACTGGCGTTTCATTTCCTTTTCATTTCCTGCCAACACGCACCAAATGCCAGCATCCCCTTTCCCGAGAAAAATGAGAATATATATATATGTATATAGATATATACATAGATATATCTCCCCAGGAAGTGCTGAGTAATTTAAAAAGTGTTCTGATACGACGTATACAGATGAGGTAATTTACAACACAGACGTTGTTACAATCTGCAGGTTTTTGGGCTGCAAGGCCAGGATAAGCACCGGGAAGAAAGTTGAGATCTGTGTTTTCTCGACGCCTGCCCCTTTAAGGTGCGTGGACTTCAACTCCCAGAATTCCCTGACTCCCAGGAAATCCTGGGAGTTGAAGTCCACACATCTTAAAGGGGCAGGCGTCGAGAAAACACTGGTTTACATCAACTCAACCTCAATATTTCCATCTTGGGTTAGCTTGGATGGATACTGCTCCCCCTGGTGACCCCCCCCAACCCCTGAAATCCTCGTCACCTCGCACCCGGCACCCTCTGGAAAGCATGCGATGAATCCCTCCTTTTGCCCTGCTTGCCAAATTCAAGGATCAAAAGAAAGCAAAGGGTTGAGTCGATCCCCGGCTCCAGAACCCTCCGGAAGGGAGCTGTCCTAGTGCAAAATCTAGGCACACCTGTGCTGCCTTTCCCAATTTCCCGCAGGCGCCACCATGGGAAATTTCCTGCCGTCGGACATCCGGAAGTCCTTTCTCATCTGCCAAGGAGAGGGAAGGAGGGGGGGAGTCTCGTGCTATTGCTTCCTGCTCCAGCACCCATCCCGTCCCCGACGAACGCAATACGTGCCCCCAATTTCCCAAGTTTCCAGAAAGTTGCATATATTTATAGAACTCGAGGCCTCCCCAAGACGGTTAGCAGGCCACGCGTAGCAATGCTGCCAATGGAGATTTTTCACGGAGGATCTGAGATGGGGCTTCCAAGGCTCCGACAGCGAGCTACAGACCGCGGTGATTCGGAAAGAGGAGCTTCCATCTTGTCCTTCGCTGCGGCCGCCCCCTTGACGTCCCAGCTCAGCGAGAGGACAACGCAGGCACCCCCAAACCCGAACGACATTTTGGCTTGTGAGCACGCTTCTTGTAAGGCTTCCGAGCACTGGGTCGTGGCGGCCACCGAATTCCTGGCAAGGTGCCGAAATGGGAAAAAAACATACACACCCCAAACACATACACACCCAGATCCCAGCCTCCTGGTCCGAAGCCCCAATTCGGGGTTAAGAGGCTGCGCGTCATGTAAAACGTTTTGATACTGACCCGGGGAAGAGACTCCGCGCAGGCGACGTTAAACCTAACCTTTGATAAATTAAAAAAAAAATTAATAGTTTTTATTTACAGCCGAGAATTCCCACGTAAGGTTATTTCAGCATAAAGAAGAGCGAGACCGATTTACCTACAGAGGCCTCTGCATTTCTGGGGTGTGCACGTGGGTGTGTATGTGTGTAGTAGTAATAGTAGTAGACAAACACACAGTCACACAGGGAGTGGATACCATCCTTCACCAGGAGGCTCTCTTACAAGCTGGCCTTGTTTTTTGCATTGTTTTTCACACGCCCTTTTGTTTTCTCGAAAATCACAGCCGGCTTGCAACTCTCCGCCAAGTTCCTCTAAGTCACACGCACGTGGACACACACCCCTGCCACCACATGGCACGTGGAGAGAAAAAGATATATGGGAGGGTAGGCAGGGCAAGCAAGCAACCCCTAGATCCGTTTGGGGTTTTTTTCTTTTTCTTTCCACGATCTAACCTGTTAGAAGTTCGAAAAGGGAAAATTGGATTTCTCCAGGAAAAAAAAAAAGGTGAAAAAATGGATTTCTCCAGGAGAAAAAAAAAAACAGGTGAAAAAAATGGATTTCTCCAGGAAAAACAGGTGAAAAGTTGGATTATTTTTTTTTTCCAGAATCCCAGAAGAACGTAACGGGGAAGAGCTTGGCGGTGGAGCCGGATGCTAACTTTGGAGGGGTGGCATGGATCAGATGGCGAGGCCTGGAGGCTTTGGATTAAGATGTTGAGAAGACCATCCCATAGGATAAAGGAGCGTGTTGTCCTCTTTTTTTCGGCAAACCATCCGTTCCAAGCCGCTGCAGGCCACGGCGACGTGGCTTCCCAAGACGCCCCTTGTCCTCCAAATCTTTGCCGGCTTTCCAAGGCTGGAATTCCACAGAGGTGTGGGCAGGCGATGGGAAGATATTATATTCCCCTGCAAAGTGGGGGGCGGGAGAGAGAGAAGAGGCATCGGCGCGTCGTAAGGACGAGAGAAACCGAGGTGAGGAAGAACCGGCGTCCTCAGTTTGGGAGAGTCTTCAAGGAGGACCTGGGAAATGGGGAGAGCAGGAACAGACGAGGAACGGGTCTGTGAATCGCCCCGTGGGTGAAGATATATATATATATGGTATTCAACTTTGTTCAGGTATTTTCCCACGTCATTATAGTTGTGCTTTTAAAGTTGTAGCAACGTTTTTCCAGATGATGGCGGATGAGATTCTGCCGAAACGTTGCTACAACTTTAAAAGCACAACTACAATGACGTGGGAAAATACCCGAACAAAGCTGAATACCATACATGTAAGTACCCGCGAAAACTTAAAAAAACATATATGTATGTATGTATGAATGTATGCATGTATGTATGTATATATTTTTTGCCAGGGGTTTTCCTCTGAATTACAAAAAGTTCAAGTAAAAAAAAAAGGCAGGCCTGGGGAGGGAGGAGGGG